TAAACTATATTTTTAAAATATATATAAATTTTAAATTTTAAAAAACTTAAAATTAAAAAATTAATACCAAGCCCCCGAAGCAGTGCTCGGGTTTGAGAGCTTGTCTTATCTACTAAAATTTGAATGTCGATTACACTCATGCTAAAATGTTAAATTTTTTTAACAGAGATTCTGCAAATCTTATCTACTAAAATTTGAATATCGGTTATGCTCACGCTAAAATGTTAAATTTTTTTAACAGAGGTCCTGCAAAGAACCTGAGTTAAATAATAGTAAACAAACAAATTAACTCACCTCACCCTTATTAAAATTGTCAAAAACAGTTAACCCACCCACCCACTCTTAATAATTGTCAATAATTGTTATTGACCCACCTACCCACCCTTGACGCCACGAACCTTTTTCATTTTGTGTAACCATCAGTCTTGCCTTTTTATCTACTAAAGGAAGATTGTTGGTCATGTCACTCTTATCTACTAAAGTGCGAATGTTTGTCATGGTAAAAAAAAAATGTAACGCTACAGAGATCCCGAATATGCACCACATCAGTAGTGCATATTTGGGTTATCTGTAGCATTATATTTTTTTTAAATGTTATATGAGAACCTGTCATGCTGCATTTAAATTTAAAGTGCAAAATGTCATATACTTCTAAGTAGTGGTAAATAAAGTTAAATTTAAAGTGCAATACATCATATACAACTAAATAACGGTAAATAAAGTTATTGAAATTGTCAATTAATAGTATATGACGTATTATACTTTAAATTTAACTTTATTTACTGACACTTAGAAGTATATGACATTTCGCATTTTAAATTTAAGTTTAGCCTACACCTGAAACCCACCCAAATTTTTTTCCACCTATTGTCTAGCCTTATAGCTATTGCAACCTGAAAATGTGTATCAAGTTGCACTCTGGATGATCATGTGACTGTCCGGAATGAATATCTGAAAAAAATTTTGAAGTTTGTTTTAGCACATGGTTAATTACATATATTTATTTTCATTAATTATGTACTTCGCATGAATATTACAATACATAATAATATGTATACATTTATAAAAAATTAAAAACTTTTACATTATTAATTTTTATTCGTTAATATTTTTTGGTAAATTATGATTTTTCAGAAGTTTTTCTTTGTTTACGTACGTGCTTTTGATAACATTTTCTTGGGAAATCCTATGCTTTCTCATTGTAATGATGCAGGTTGTGCTTGAATTTTTGCTCCACATTGTATTGTAATCGTTGTTGGGAGAGCTTAATAGAATTATGTGGAACGAAGCCCAATTTAACCCCAACAGTGTATGAGGAGATAATGATAAACTTAGAGAAATAAAGAGAGTTGTTTATACTGTCAGAGGTTTATTAGACAATATGATACTAGGAAGCAAGGATTTAATATTAAGGGAGGTGATAATAGGGCGATGTAACTACAGGTGATGCTATTAGAGATATCTCAATAAGAGTGATGAGATAAAAGTGGACAATAATCAAGTGATGTTGGTGATATCTTCAAGTCCATGTGAGTGATTAGCAAGGTTAAATAACTAATCGTAGGTATTGTTCTATACCACAATTCTCAAAGTCACTACTGTGAATAGCAATATCTGATTCCATAACCATTCTAAAATTCGAGTCTTAATAAGCCGAATTGAAGTTACAAGTCAATTTAGTCCATCAAATTGAGTCTCGAAAGGGTTTATTAAAGTTACAAGTCAAATTCAAAGACAAAGTCTCAAGAAAAATTCAGATAAGTATATATTTTATTATTTTGTGGTAATTAAAAGTGGACATGAATTACTAACTATTTATCACTAACTACTGTAATTGACTAACTCTAATTGACTCCTGTAATTCCTTTTTGTCATTTCCTGTTCGTTTATTAAACTCATGGTCTTTATATACATTTTAATTCCCAGTAATATAAACATTGCAATTGTGGTGTTTACACCAAAAATATAATGTAGACATAGAAATTCAGGTGTATGCATGTAAAAATAACATATATACCAAAAGATCTCAAGACACAGTCTTTGTGCAATCACGTATATGCAGCTTTTTCAATGTTTATGTGATTCATCTAATTTCCATGCAACTAAGTCACTCATTATTACTATTTTAGTAGAAGTTATAAAATAATCAAAAGAAATTAATAGATATACTAAAATTGGGTATTGTTACCAGAATGAATAGGAAATTACTAATAAACTATATATATGCAGATATTTTACAGAGAAAATAAACTATTTACAATAATATAAAAAATAAAATTTAATTCATTACACTATCAATATTCAACTTTATAAGTATTATTGTGTGAAAAATTTTTGGGAGTAGAGTAGGTAAATCAGCAAAGTTGAACGAATCGGGCTGTATTTTTATTATTATTTAATTTTATTATTATTTTGTTTTTTATTTATATGAAGTGAAATATGAAATGTGAAGCGAAATGTGAAGTGAAACATGAAGTGAAATATGAAAAGAAAAATGAAGCAAAATATAAAGCAAAATATAAAGCAAAATATAAAGCAAAATATGAAGCAAAATATGAAGCAAAATACGAAGCAAAATATGAAGCAAAATATGAGTGAAATATTAAATGAATTAATAAAGAAACAAATTAGCCTTTAAAATAACGATAATTACTCTTAATATAGTATAGCGATAATTTATTTAATTAATCGGATCATTTGGTTTGATTTTTATGCAACCACATGATCATCCAGAGCACTGCCTACAGTAGCTGAAACCTAATTACCAAATGTGGGATTCTTTGCTACTAGTAAAAGCTACAGAGCCTAATAGCACCCACCAAAAGCTTCCTAATATATTGCCCTTAGTTTACAAGTTACTGAGAGACAGGTAGGATGATAAAGCCAGCCTTCACTACAAGGCAAGCGATAGTGAAAAGAAAAATAACCTACTCTACTAACTAAAAGCCCTTAAATATGTTATTAATTACATATTCAGAACCATATGATTACTCCATATTCTTAGTAACTCACATTTCAACAATAATATATAATCA